GAGAGAGAGAGAGAGAGTGTGTGTGTGAGAGAGAGAGAGAGAGAGAGAGAGAGAGAGACAGACAGACAGACAGACAGACAGACAGACAGAAAACGTGTGTGGATGTTCATGCATATTTGGGTGTTTGGATGCACGTATATTTGTGTTTGTATGTATATGCCTGTGTGTGTGTGTATTTGCATTTATGCATACCTGGGTATACAAATTTGTGTGTGTGTGTGCTTCTAAGTGTGTATGAGTGTGTTTGTGTCTGTGTGTATGTGTGTGAGAGAGAAAGAGAGATAGAGTGAGAATGAGAGTATGAGAGTGTGGATGTTCATGTATATTTGGGTGCACATATTTATGGGTGTGTGCATGTGTGTCTCTAAGTGTGTGTGAGTGTATGTGTGTATGTGTGTGTGAGAGGGAGAGAATGAATATGTGGATGGTCATGTATATTTGGGTGCACATATATTTGTGTTTGTGTGTGTATGTCTGTGTGTATATTCACGTTCACATACATTTGAGTACACATATTTATGGGTGTGTACACATGAGCCTCTGTGTGTGTATGAGTGTGTGTGATGTATGTGTCTGGGGGGTGGTCTGTGTAGGACAGAGGGTTCTACTCCTCAATAAATGACCACCTATTTTTCTGTTTTTACTTTTCTGAAGCAGGATTTACCCCTGGCCTGGAACTCACCAAGTAGATGAAGCTTCCCGGTCAGCAAGCCCTACAGACTATGTATCTCTGACCCCCCAGTATTCAGATTAAAGTGTGGGCCACCACACCTGGGTCAATGGGCTATCTGTCTCTGACCCCATAGTACTGGGGTTATTAAATGTGGGCCACCACACCTGAATCTGCTTCACACGGGTTCTGAGGGTCAAACTCAAGTCCTTGTATTTGCATGACCAGCACTTTTGCAGCTGAGACTCACCTCCTCAGCCCTGGGAAGCCATCTTTAGTTAACATCTGTCAAGAGTGCTTCACAGTCCTGTAAGCTCCAACCACCTAGCCCTGCAGCATCTGAGACTCTATGCCAGCACCTCAGCTTAGCATCTATCAGATTCCAGTCACGGCCACCAGGAAGGTTGAGTCCACACCAGCAGCCAAGGCCTCTGCTCCAGCAGCTTCATGGAGATTCCTCACACCCTGCCCTGAAGTTTCTCGGCCTACCCTCAATTTTACCTGTAGACTTCCTGGCTGGGTCTGAGAGGAAAAACACCCCCAGGGAGTTCCTTTACCCTGGCCTTTGGCTGCACTGGGTCTGAGTCAGTGACCTCTCCTTAGGTTTCCTGACACCCTTTGGGCCTTACTGCTGGTAACTAACTACCTGTTGCAAGCTACAGGGTCTGATAAAACCATAAACAACCTCAGTGTGGGCGTGGACTCTAATCAGCACTTCTGCCGAGGACTGCGAGGACTGCGTGTTGGTGCTGATGAGAAGAAGATCCAAACATTTAAGGAATGAAATTGATCCCCCCCCCCTCCGCTTAGCCTGAAGGCAAGTCCTGGCAAAAACCTATTATGCAAATGAACTCCAGATGCATGAGTGGAACTGACCTTTGGGTGGTTCTGGGAGAAAAAAAAATCCCTACTCTAGCAAGTTGGTTCTACTCTGATCATAGTAGGGCAACTTTTCATTTCCACCTAACCGCTCACTGGCTCACTGAGGTTTCCCACAGTGCCTTGAACAAGCTCCAGGGAGACTTGAGTCTTAGGAGCCAGAGCCCAGAAAAGATTCTTCGAATGAATGATTGACACTCTATTGGGTAAGAGCACTTACCTTTGTGTCTATGTGGGGATGTTTTCAAGATGAAGTTTTTGGGAAGTACTGGGGAGGAGAGAGGGATGGTAAAGAACCAGGGAAAGTTAGCCAGGACAGAAACACCAGTGGCCTCCTGACAGTGGCCTTCAAGGATCCGATTCCCTGCCCACACTTTCCTGCTTTGACCTCCTCCTGCTCTCCCTGCATTCCTCTGCTCAGACCCCACTGGCTACTTTTAGCTCCCTGAAGGCCCAGCCCAGTCCCCTGGAGCTTTGTCTCAGCAATTCCTTCTGACTTCTCTGTCCCTCATTTTCCGCCTGAGATAACCATCAGGAGTCTCCAGTCCAGCCCTTGTTGTAGCAATACCGGTTCCCGGACAGTCTGGCCCTCTTACTCAGATTTATTTAGTGATTTTTGTTTGCTGTATTTTCCCCATTGTGCTGAATGCGCCCTCTAATACTTGCACATGCGCTAACAGTTCCTCACCCCTGGCCTTACCCAGATGGCAACTCCCTGAAAATGAAGATTTTGTTTCCTTCTGCACTGCTAGCGTAGCACTAAGAAACACCTGCTGCATGCCACATAACACAAGCACTACAAATATTTGCTGAAGGAATGGACGGCCCGGGGAAGGAGGAGGAGGGGAGAGGATTGGCAAATGCCTCTACCAGCTAAGTCAAGGGAGAATGTCTGGAGGAGACTGTAGTTGGAACTGAACTTTTTCTCTGAGTCTCAGATCTGAATGCCTGCCCCAAATCACATGAACCTACTTCTAGACCCCTGGCATGTGCTGATTTGAAGGGAAGAAGTTTCTGGAAGAAAGAGAATTTATCATTGATAGTTCAGGGAGCTGGTCAAGGAGTTGGGAGAGGGGCGGGTCCTGAAGTTGCTATGGCAGTGGAGAGAGCAAAGCTTCCAAATGGCTAGACCCCCCGGGGAGGGTGCCCTGGCCGAAGCCAAAGCGTTGGGCTCTAAAGCCTGATGACAGCCTCTCCTTCTTTAACTGCTGGGGACTTGCTGGTGTCGGGGACAGTGTCTGCCCACAGATTATAGTCACACAGTTCATGGAATCCATTATGGGGCTAGAGCTGTGATTAAGTAGCTCTACAAATGCTGGGTGGGGAAAGGAGCTAACCTTTGCTATGGCTCACTGGGTGTAAGAACCTATGTCAATGGATTAAGTCTTTCAGGCCTCACAGCCAGCTTTAAAAATAATCACCGTCCCCATGCAGCAGGGAGAGACACAGGCTCAGCAATTTAGCAATAACCTTAGCAGAGTTAGTATACAGAGCCAAATACACCCGGGGGTCGTTCTAATTCACGGTGCTCTTCTCCCTTCTCTGGATGGTCCCACAGCTCAGGGAACACGCTAGAGGAAAAAGACAAGAAGAAAGGAAGGGCGCCCCAGGCTAGAATGAATGAGAAAGTGTGGGGCTGAAGATTCTGGGAACCGAGGTGGGTAAATACCTTAGCGGTCGGCTAACTGGGCTCTATCGGCTGCCATGAAGCACTTCTGGCGTTAGCTCTTAAGGGAATGACGGTAAGCTCTAGGAAGAAGACCCTGAGCACAGGAGGTAGAGTTCGGTAACTCCACTGACCATTGAGAGTGACGTGGGTGATCATTTCAGGGTAAGGAATGCTGCCTCTGTCCTCCCTAACCTTGTCCTGCTGTGTCCCAGCTCAGCCTAAGGGAGATGTACTCATAAGTGCGAGTCCAGGAAGCTGAAGCCCCGATGACCTTTAGTCAAATGGGGAGGTTTGTCAGCCTGCGTCATATGCAAATTCAAAAAAGAAATTCAAATAGATGTGGCCATGCACTGCCCATAGGAAAAGAAACGCTGTCCAATGTCAATGGGACCCAGGAAGGGAGGGAGTGTGAGAGAAACAGATGTGCAGTCTGGAAAGGGGCGATGAGAAAGGTACACACGAGCACTTGGATGACGGTAAACTGCATTTCTCCCTGAAGATACTGCAAACGGGATGCAAACCAGGCCTCTTCCAGGACACCTAAACCCCACCTCGGGAGGCTGCCTACCAGAGGACTTCTGCTGGCCTAAATATGCTTAGCTAGAAAAGGCAGGAGGGACTTCAACTAAAACACCAGCTCTAACCTATTCCTCCCCTATGTGTCATGCTAATCTCCTGCTTCAGGCCTAAATATTCCAGACACCCACAGCGACCCAGACACCTTTGAGAATACAGCTGAACATGCCCAGGGGCCTTGGCCCACCTCCTAACCATAGTTTTCCTGGAATACGTGTGACAGTTCTCATTTGTGTCCTCTTTCATTGAGTCTTTCCTTAGACACAGCGTTGGGAGGCACAGCTTCTAATGAGAGACGACAGACCTAGGGAGATGAGTGAGCCCTGTGCTTCCGTGTGGTCTCCGAACGTGCACATTACACCCTTCCTACCAAAATGCTAGTTATCGACTTCCGCCGTCCTCAAACTCAGCAGGTCGTTACCTGGATATAGCTCCAGTGGTTGTGTGTCACCAATCCAGACTGAAGGGACAAACCAGTGGGTGCAGCAATGAGGCCACAGGAAGGAGCTCCCCAAATCAGGTCTGTGGTCCTCGAGAGTCCCTGTCCTTATGGGAGTGGTACCCTGCGGAAAGGAAACAAAAGTCATGTTACTATGACAGGCAATCTCTAGGCCTTCTACCACATTGGGGTTTCTAAGCCATGTGCAGACAATTACAGGATCAGGGACCACCAATAGAGAAAGACTTCCAGGATATAAACTTGTCTAATTCATTCATCCCGTAGTTGGGGAAACTAAGGCTTGAAGAAGAAAACAGCATCCTTGAGACCATCCTTTTGGGAGGTGGTCCAGATTGGCTTTGGACTCTCTGGCAAGGGGAACTTTAGAATGCAGCCTCGTGGTCAGGCTGACCGAAGAGTGGCTGCTGACCCTGAACGGAAAGGCTTCTTCTGTATGTGTGCATATATACATGTACGTGTGTTCATATACGTATGGGCCCTGGGTGCACGGGTGTGTGTGTATACGTGCGTGGAGGCCAGAGGTTGACAAGGGGAATCTTCCATCAGTCTCCCCTTTATACAGTAAGGCAGGGTTTGTCACTGAGCCCAGAGCTCACTAGACAGCTTGCCCTTGCCCCAGGGATCTGTCCATCTTTGCCTCCTGAGCACTAGGATTCAGCAGGTCACCGCGTGTGTGCAGCATGTATATGGGGACTGGAGATCGGAATGTAGGTCCTTACGAAATTGCCCAGCAAGCACTTCACACACTGAGGCATGTCGCAGCTCCTCTCCCTTTTAAAAACATTTCACAGCGAGGTGAAATTTTCCCCCACGCTTCTGTTTTTGTAGTTTTTATGGGTTTGCCACGAGGGAACTAAATTGGTAAAACAGTCCATCTCAGACATGTGACTCGGATGGTGTCCATGTTTCCCTCATTATAAAAACATTGTTATGGAAGACTGTGAACCACGGACACAGCATAGGTGGGCTTTGCTTTTTTAGTGGCAACAAGTCTTTCTCTCTCTCCAACCCCCTCAATCCCTCTGTCCCCTCCCTCTCTCTCTCCTTGTTGCAGAAAAATAGGAAAAGATAGAGACTCTTCTGGTGAGTACTAACTCTTCCAGGGATTTTCTGGCTCTCCTGTGTATTTAAACAACCACACTTCAACACAGAAAACAAACTGAGAGAAGAAACACACGTATCTAACATTGCTTAACCAAATCATAGCTCCCAGGTTCATCATGTGACCTCTGTGTCCATATTTCCCCAACTTGGCCTAAGCTTTGTCTTGTCGGGCACCACTAATTTCAATTTTCCCCACAACTAGAACCCCGAACTTCATACAGCTAGACTGTTTGCTGAGGCATGAAGAAAGTGCACTGACAAGCCCAACCTGCACAGAGCTTCCTTGCACACACACACATGCACACACATATGTGAGTGTGCATGCACACAAACACACACACACACACACACACAGGTGTGCATGCACTCAAAGAAAGAGGCAGTAGACTAATTGGAAAGAGAAAAGGAAGTTCACCAGCAGAGGGAGGGGCTAAGAGAAAGTAGCTAGATAAAACTGTCAAAAGTGAAAATATAAAACAGAAAAAGAAACAAACCCACATCTGACTCTCAGAACTTTCTGTGCGTATCAGTTGGGTTACATTTATTGGGGTCAAAAATCAGAAGTTGTCTATGCACCCATTGTCCTCCTCAAATGCAGGACAAAGTGCTTTGGAAGCTGTCAGTGTTGGAGACACAGGGAGGGGTATTCTTCCTAGGTCCTAGGGCAGGGTGGAGGAGGCCTTTGGAAGCCAGAGCTTACTGCCCAGCTCTGGGAGGTTGGACTGGCCTGGGCTCTGTGCAGCTGCAGGCAGAGGGCACCACAGGAAATCATGATTATCAATGCTCCGGGCTTTGTTCCTGTTCTCAGACAGCCTGGACATGCCAGGAGAGATGGGGCGGGGGCAGAGAAAGAGGAAGAAAAAAAAAACAGGAAGTGAAGTGGGGGAGGAAACACTAGAGAAAACAGCCGCTTTGGAACGTCCTCCACCAGAGAGTGTTCTCTGAGCAGACTGTGGAGCTGTGTTTTTGGAAAATAGGGTGTGGCACAGATGAGGAAGAGGGTCCTGTGGGTGGGTACCCATAAATTCTATTTCCAGCCCTAGAGCCTGGTCTGTCCAATCCAAGGCTGGGTGTAAGTACTAAAGAAAGTGGATTTCCAAAGGGCTGGTGGGGGAAGGCCCTTCCCCCACACCTCTTGGCAAAGCCTGAGAGAGCAGGTGAGCCAAGAAGGTTCTAGAAATAAGAGAGGAATTCTTGAGGTGATGGAACTCTTGAGGTGACTAGACATCTGGAGAGCTTTCCCAGGCCCCTGCCATCTGCTTTCTCTCTCAGCCACTTTCAGATTGTTCGTGGTTTGGGAGGCATACATGAATCTCATTTACCGAAACTGTACCAGCTACCTTCAACCGTATAACACAGAGGTTCAGAACACTAAGTTTTCATGGCATGGCTAAGATCCTGCCCTGATGCTTTCCGTCTATTTTGTTTACCCAGAGATGTTTCCAGAAGTTCCCCATCTTCAAATACACATCATTTAGCACAACATCTCCTGGTGAGCTCAACAACCTCACAGAAATAGTCTTACTCCAAGGGAGAGGGTCAGTGGGACCCTCTGCTCCCTCAGCCACTGTTGGCAGTTAATGGTTATTGCTGAGCGAGCATCATTTTCTTGTGGAGTCTAGTCATTGGTCAAGTGGTCCAGGACTTAGTCAATAAACACTCATCCATGCTCTTTATAAGGAACCCGAATTCCAATCAGCGGGTCTCCCTGTCCCAGAATGTCTCTGTCTCTCTCTCACACACAAAGAAATACATGAAAGTGTGGGAGGGGCTTATTGGGAAGAGGATTTCCATGGAAGACCAAGGAAGAGGAGGGAAAGTAACAGGGGGTGGGGTAGAAAGTTACCAGGGGTCACCATACACATATATGAAACTGTCAGAGAAGAAAAACAGAAGAATTGAGTGTGAAGGTTTAATGACGAGACATTTGTAGGAAGATTATTAACATTATCACTGCTTGACCAGAGAGAGGGGGAGAGAGAGGAGGGTGGAGACCCAATAGCGCTTAGCACTGTTCTTCATGCTCCCACAGGCACGAGGAAGGAAGAGAGAATGTAGAATCCTTAACCAGTCCACAAGTCCACCACTCCAGTGGTTCCCCAAAACTGCGCATCCAAGAAGCTAATAGAAAGTATAGTTCAAACCCAGAGAAGGAAGTGGTAAGCTGGCGTCTAGGCGGCTTTTGTTGGCATCAACCTGGCCTGGCTCCCTGGGCTAGTATTTGGGTCACAAGGGGGATTGGTTTGGCTCTCATGGTGGTCCCACCTCCTCTTGTTTCCTAGACAGGATCGCAAGCCCCCAGTGAGGATTTTCTCAAGGTCTGACATTAAATGGCCTTCTGGGGATCTGTCCCAGATTCTGTAAATCATTTTCTTAATATCCAAACAAACATGGGCTAAGCCTGCGTGAGCATATCTTTGTGGGGGATCCAAGCTCTTTCAGATAGTAGCTCATAGCTGACTATGAGAACCAAATATCCAAGGGAGAGCAGAGATGAAACGAGGAAAGCAACATCAGCCCATCTCCGTCTCCACGGCGACACAACCTAGCATCCCACTGTCCTGATCTGCTTCTGAGGCCTGTCCTTCTGGGATGCCACCACAGCCTATGGTGCTTTGATCAGCAGGAGGGCTAGCCCTCCATAACACACGGTGACCGGGAATGTGGTTTTCAGTACCATAGCCTTTGCTCAGCTTGCAAAGAGCTACAAAGGCTGTTGAACAAACGGGAGAAGCTAAAATCCAGAAATGGGGAAGATTTTAGCCAGAGCCATGGGACAGAATTAAGGCGCTACAGGCAGCATCTAACTGGTGACATCCAGTGCGGTGACCTTCTCACAACGTCCCTCCCCCTCCTAGCCAGAGAAGGAGCTGCTGACAGCTGTGGGTCTTCCACTCCCAGAGTCTATGGTGGCAGAGGGGCAGGGTAGGAACCAACAGAAGCAAAGGAGAGAAAGAGGGTAAGATCAAAGGCCTGAGAAAACACGTTTGTGACTCCACATCGGACAGATAGGGAAGTCAAAGGCCAATTCAAGAGTGGGCAAAATTCCCCATTCTCCGAAGCAGAGTGAGGCCATTAGAGCAGAGCGCTTCATTTGACATTTTCCCCACAGCGGCAGGAGTGGGGACAAAACAGCATCAGAGCAGGGACTAACTGTGAATCAAGCATCAGTTGTACATCTTGTCACCCGCTAAAGTCCCACAGAAATCCTGTTGGCTTGGCACTGCTGCTGGCCCTTTCACAGTTAAGAAAACCGAGATACATCAGGGCTTAGCCTCTGGTCTAAGAGATTCAGCGTTTGAGAGAGAAGAGTTAGTTTATTAACTCGGCCTCTCTGACTGGAATTCTTGCTGTTAAGCACTTCCTAAAACTCTCTCTCAAAGCAGCTATATTAAAGGGCAAGACACTGGAAAGAGCTGAATAAAAACAAATCCCCTAGGAACAGAGGACTCTTCATTCAGTGGAGGAGGAGGCAGTAAAGCTCTCCGGGCAGGGAATGGCATGAAGTGCTCACAGCTGACTGGAGGAGTTAGTCCCTGATCCCTTTTGGCCAGCAGCCCGCTGGGGTCAGCCACCACCAGGAAATGGCATCCTGGTCTCAATGTTTACATGGCCCCACTCATAGGAGAAGGAAGTGGCTGGACCCTGGAGGCCTGAGAGGGATCATCTGGGTGGGTGGAAGGGGCGATGTCGATGTCTTGGGAAATCAGTTCCCAAGGCCCAGAGAATGGAGCAGCTGGGGCTGGCAGGTGGGCAACTCTCTGCTCGCAGTCCCCAGGCTAATGACACATATTCTCCCAAGGATTCCTGGCTGCCTGGTTTCAATCTCACAAGAAAGAAGGGACAAGGCAGGACAGAAGTCATCTCTTACCGTTTCACAGATGCTGAGAATAAAGCCCAAACACTGCCAACCCTGGGACAACTAACAGTCATAATGACAGTAACAGCAGCTGCCGTTAGTTGGTGGTCTGTCCTATAGCAGGATGCGAGCCAGATGCT